AACATGCGGGTGGAGGACTACGAGCCCTACCCTGACGACGGCTTCGGGTGAGCTGGGGTGGTCCAGTGCCCCGCAGCACCTCCGGCTCTGTGCGGAGGGGCTGCAGGCTGGTGGCCTCTGCTGAACGCCCACAGGTGCTGTGAGCTTAGAGTTTGAAGGCACTTTTAATACAGGAACAAGCGGAATAAGTTGGAGGCCCGCATAAATACAATGCTGTATGAGAGACTTCGTATGCCAATGTGGTGCAGAGCTAAGAGGGATGAATCGAAAGCCATCTCTAGAATAAAAATTTCATGAACTGTTTAAATGTTAGGGAATGCTGTGGCATGGGCAAGCCAACTACAGTTCTGTACTTCATTCTAACTTGCATTTTCTTACAGCTAGTATAGCCCAAAAAGGCCACACTGAGGAATGCTGTTTGCTACAGTGACAACAGTATGATAATGGTTGTGCTAGCTACATGTATGTGTTAAATAAATTATATTCATAGGAGCTATAAAATCAAAGTAATCCTTCCATTTTCAGAAGCCTATCCTATAGTGTCTCCTACAAAATGTGACTAAATTAATACAGATTTCTTATATGTCTGGGGTTTTTTTGTCTGTTCCTCACAGTTATGGTGACTATCCTAAGCTGCCTGATAAGTCTCATCATGAGAGAGACCCCTGGTACCAGTGGGACCAGCCAGACATGAGGCATAACTGGGGAGAGCCGGTAGGAATGCTAGTAGCACTTTTCAAGCTGTTAATCCATGCTACTGTTATTAAGTACTAACATGCACATCTTGTTAGTGCTTTCTGTTTAATACTTTGTGTAATTGCATTGCCAAGTTCAGGTGTGTGTTGCCTATGCAGGCAGGGACAATTGGTCATTTGGAGGGAGGCTATAGCCCTGAGTGCTGAGGACTCTTTAACATCTTATTACATATGAGGAGGGAGACTAAAAAAGTTTCTCCATAGGAATAGGAAAGTCTCATCCATTTTCTGTGCCTGATCTGACTCAGTATGAGAGTTCAGTTCAGAATCATTTAGCAAAGAAGCCATTGCTAAAGTAAAGTCCTTTTAGTACAATGGAAGTAGTTATTACTGCTTTATTACCCCAGGGTTGGTTGGTTGGTTTGTTTGTTTGTTTTGTGGGATAGAATAAAAATAAGGTGGTTTTCTCTGAAGGAATTTTGCAAGATATCCTTAAGACTTTGAAAGTTAACATAGGTGCTCTATTCATTTCTCTTAAGTTCTTCAAACTCCTTGTCAGGACTAACTTTTCAGTTAGTGACAGGTCTTTCTGTGAATGACTGCCATCTAACTGTGATTACTGAATTTAGTAATTGACTTGACCTCTTCATGCTAACAGCAGAGATTATGTGAACTTGTGTATGCAATATATTATAGTATAAATATGCCAGAGCATTGTAGCATGTGTGCCACAGTAAGTTGCCTGCTGTAGAAGCACATGGAAAAAACCATGGCAATTCTGAGTTGTGGTGGTGCTTGGTACAGGAAGGCAAGTATAGGTACCCTTGCACATGAGGTTCTCAGTGAGGGACCAAGTGGAATATACTGGTGCATTCCAGCTGTCAGCATGTGCCTCTTTAGGAAACTGAGTTCTGCTCAGACCGGCTCTCTGGGCTTGATAGCAAACTGCTCTGTGTGCAGAGGGGAAAGCTGGGGAGCTAGAGGCAGTGCTTGAGCTGCAAATTAAGGAGTTCTCTGCTTTCAGTTACGTGAAAGGAGACTATAAGCAGAACATGCTTGGGACTTCCCTGTATATACTTCAAGGCAGAAGCTTAAATGCCCCTCTGCTTCAATCAGGAAGGGCATGAGCTTACTACCAGCCCTGCTCTGGTCATGGACTAACAACAGCAGCAGGTACTCTACCTGTTTTGAGGAACCAGCCTCCAAGTGGCAGGCAGTTGCTGCTTTGTTTGAAATTACTGCTAGTTCTGTTTGGGTATATTCCATAAATGAGGGTACCAGTTTATACCATGCCTTTTCAGCAGTGTTGAGGAACAAATCTAAGACAGTGACTATGTATACAAATAAAAGCTGCTGCTACCCTGTAATTAAGCATATTGCCTGGTGTAAGTATAGGATGGAATTTGAAGTCCTGAATTCTGCTGAAACTGGCAACTTCCTATGACTGTAGGTAAATCACTTGCCTCCTCATTTTCAAGGTGGAGATGAAACAGCTTCTGGCAGTTTTGTGAATGCTATAAAGCACTTCTTCCCTTGATAAAAGCAGCTTGAGCGATGTTGGTAAATGTGTGGTGGTTTGGTTTTTTTGTTCTTTAGATGCACTGGGACTTTGACATGTATATTCGGAACCGTGTTGATACATCCCCCACTGTAGTCCCCTGGCACGTCATGCGCAGACACTTCCTTATCTTTCTGGGTACCATGCTGGTCATGTTTGGTATTGGAGGGATGTATCCATCTTACATGCCTGTGGTGAGTGACGCCCTTGGGTAAAGGGAGGAAAAGTAGCTGTGTTTCTTGTCACTACCAGTGCCCAGAAGAATGGTTTTGGTGAAGCAAAGTAATGGGTGTGAATGTGAAATCCTGCTGCTGGCAGGGGCTGGGCCAAGGGATATCCTGTGGCCTCATCCAGCCTGAGTTGTTGTTTTGTCTGGCTTGGCTCAGCTCACAGGTTCTCTTTCAGAGTGAGCAGTTCCTGTTCGCAGGGAACTAATTTTAAGCTATGCTTCTTATGGTACCCTTTCTTTGATCTAGGTATTCTCCTTCCCTGTGCTCATCTGCTTGAGGGTGATGCTTTATCTTTTCTCTTGCCCTGTTTTTAGTTATATCTCATGACCTGTATCAGTTGGAATGTACTTCTGAAAAATACATCTGAATAATACACAAATAGCTTTTGCAATATATTATCCTCATGCTGCGAGATGAACCGTTGGTTAAGTTTAAATGCAAAGCCACTTTGATGTTTCTGTTAAAAGACATGGGTTTATACAAAGAACTGTATCACTGAATTTACTTCCCTTGTACTCTAATATTCATACTGAAGCACTTAAGAAATAGAAATTTAAATTAGAAATAACAAGCCTTGATTTGGGTGGGAGTGGGATGGGATACCACTTCATTTGCTTGGTGATTAATTTGCCTCTCTCCCCTTGTAGGGACCGAAGCAATATCCCTTCAATAACCTGTATCTGGAGAGAGGAGGAGACCCCAATAAAGAGCCACCAGTGGTGACACACTATGAAATCTGAAAGTTGTTGAAGTGCTGTGTTTCTCCTCTGACAGAAATGCTGGGGATGGCATCTTCTCTAGCGTTCACTGTGTTAACACTTGTCCTTCCTTCAAGGTTCAACCACTAACTGCAGTGAAATAAATCTATGACAACCTACTGTGCTAGTTGTCTTCTGTTGGTTTGAGAGAGCTGAGCAGTGGCCAGTGAAATTGAGTGACCTTTACCATTTTTGTAAATGGTGTTGTATTTGTGGGGTGAAGTTCCGAGTGCAGAACTCCTAGGACTGCTGCTAGTTTATGTACCTTGTGCACAATCATTCCTCAACTAAGCCCGTCTATGTAGGAGATGCTGCCCGTTACCAAGTGGCTTATAGCAGGTGCTGTTTGGTGTTGAATTCGACTGTCATTATTTAATGTGAAATAAGACGCAGAACCAGACTGACAAGTGGCAATGCTTGGGAGTCTTGTACTGTGTGAATAACTGTCCATCCTTACTGGCATTTGGCTTTGATCTCTTCCTGGTCTAGACGCCTTCTCAAGTGAAGCTTGCACAACCAGTAGGGGGCACCGGTGAGGCACAGAGCCTTGATGTGTATAGCTTGATGTTTGCAGCAGAGCTGTAGGCAGCAGTGGTATGGAAAGGCTAATGAGCAAGTCCAGTTCTGCCCAGGCACAGCAGAACACAGATGCACAAGTTGCTCCTGTGTGGTCTGAGTTCATCCACCAGGGTTGGCATTATATCTGACCCATGAAGTCTGCCTGTGTTGCTGCAAACCACTGGTCTACGGCATTCATCAGTAGTTTGCTTGGGAAGGTTATATATGCAATTTTATTAAGCTCCTAGATATGTCCAGCTCCATTCTTCCTTTAACACAAGTTTTTCCTCTTGCTACTGGAGGAGTCGGTACCCTCAGTACTGATTTACAGTGAAAGTTCTCTCAACTCCCCTGTGCTGTGCTTTAGACCTTGCTGTTTGGCTGCAGGAGTGGGTGATCATAGAAGGCGAAGTACGGCTTGGGCTGTTCTGGGTGCCTCCTATAAACTGCATGCTGTGATCTCCTCTCAACACCCTGTCATGACTCACAGTTCTATGCTTTAAGAGAAGCAGGTATTTGGAGACAATGATTCATGTTTTATTGACCTATAAAGATTTTTAACCCCAGATTGTAAAGGACAGTTAGCTTGATCTCTGTGGAGAGGTTTCTGTAAGAGTGTAAGGGAACTGCATGACTGAATGCTAGGACATACAAATATTTATGTGTAATTAAAATAAACCTCTTCGGAGGTGCTGAACAATCACCATTCATTCTGGTGTCTGTAAGCTGTCACCTTCTCTTCTAGTTACAGAACTGCTTTATTTTGAATTACAGACAATGCTGTTTTAACCCCAGAAGGGTTTTTAAAGTATTTTTTGAGCTGTGGGGACCTTTAAACTGAATTCTTATACAAAGTATTTGTGCAGGGGAAAAACACTTTTTAGGGATACTCGAGTAAGAATTGCCATTCCACAGCAGTTATGTGACAGAACTATACACAATGTGAGAGCTGGAAAGAGTTTTCCAGTAAAATAGAAATGATCAGAGCAGTAATGGGAGCCTGATCTTCCTGTATGCTAAATGATAATGCAGCAGTTGCACAGAGGCAGGTTGAGGCCCATCCAGCTTATTTCACAGCATACCACACGGCTGCCCTGCCCCAGCACTGTGTGCTGCCGCCTCCTTTGGAGTTCCATGCCGGTCTGTATCTAACCAGTAACTTAATGATGCGTTTTCTTGTTTTTATGGGTAAGCCATATGGGTAGGGCAGAGCATGGCTCAGAAATCCTTAAAAATGGGGTTTGTAGTGTAGGCAAATTTTCTCAAAACTGGAGAGTGGTGAAGAAAAGGAGGTCTGGATCCTTCTGCTGTTTTATTTTTTCTCCCTGGCAACTAGAATTCTTTTAAGAAATCCTATTTCTAAGCCTTTATTTCTAAACCTTTCCCTTCTCCATGCCCTCTCAGGAAGGCTTAAACTTGTATGAGGCGAGGTTCTGAGGGGGCTGACTTCAGAGGCAACAGGCACCCGCTTCACTTACGGTGTTCCTTGGTCCACAGCTGGAACCGTTTCGGACTCGTGGGTGGAGCATATTTTAAGTATCTTCACAAAGGTGTTTGTGAGCCGTGCGCTGAGCCCGGCTGCTGCTGAGGTCGCCGGTTGTGGTGCCGCGGCTGAGGAA